CTTCCTCTGTCTGCTGATGACTAAATTGTTGTTTCCCCCCAAAATAGTACACACAATACATTTCGGGATCAATGCCAACTTAAGGACAATTGCGAAGAGAATTTAATCATTAGCAATAGTAAAACCAAAAAATCTTATCCTGTTGTTCCACATCTTCATGTCTAAAAGCTGTTCTGAATGTTTTTTCTGTGTCTTGCCTTTGATTGTTGAGTTTTCCCGCTACAGGCCGAAGGGAGGAAGAACAGCAAGCAAACAACTAGACTGTCTCCAGTAACGCTTCTGCACAATTTGGGGGACATCCATGACAAGTGGCTATTTCATAGCATTTCAAACTCTTACAGATTGTGACTGGGATCCAGTTACCTCCAGGATTTCCACCATACATCCCTGTGGAGATTCTTGATACGAATTCTTTATAAACTTTCTTTACAGAAGAATTGATTCCTCTTTTTATTTGTTTGCTAGAATTTTTGTCCATATTCTAAATATTTGAAACTATCTTTATGAGCTGATTAAGTCTTGGGTGCAGATTGTCATCCTCACTGATTGGGCACTTCACTACAAGAAGGATAATGAATTTCTTGAATATATTCTGAGAAGAACAATAAAATTTGTAAAGTGACTGGAAAGCAAGACATATGAGGAGCAACTGAGGGAATTGAGTTGTTTAGTAGTTGTAGAGAGTGATAAGGTATCCCCTATGTCTTCTCCAGACTGAAAAATTCCAGCTCCCTCAGCCTCTCCCCATAAGACTTGTGCTCCAGAACCCTCACAACTTTCTTGACCTTCTCTGAACATGTTCCAGTGCTTCAACGTCTTTCTTGTAGTGAGAGGCCCCAGACTGAACGCAGTACTTGAGGTGTGGCCTCAACAGTACTGAGTAAGGAGGGATGATCACTTCTTCACTCCTGCTGGCAGCACTATTTCTGGTACAAGCCAGGATGCCATTGCCTTCTTGGCCACCTGGGCACACTGCTGGCTCATCTTCAACTGAGTGTTGACCGACACAGACAGAGCATTTCTTCCACTCTCTGCCCCAAGCCTTTAGCATTGCCTGTGATTGTCCTGGCCAAAGTGCAGGATTCAGTACTTAGTTTTGTTGAACTTCATCCCATTGGCCCAGCAATCCAGCCTGTCAAGATCCCTCTGTAGAGCCTTCCTACCCCCAGGCAGATTGACACTTCCTCCTAAGTTGGTGTCATAATTCATTCTCATATAGCAATTCACTTTTCCATTATGGAAAATGTGTGATTATCATCTTATTTCAGTCTGAATATTTTTTAAAAATCTAGAAGAATAGAAAGATTTGAAAAGGAAAGTGAAGCATTATATTCCCTAGACTTCTTTTCTAGCTAATACTAGCTGGGCATTTCTAAACCAAAGATGCAATTACTCTTCAGTATACAGAAGTTTAAGGATAGAGCCCAGATTTTTCAAGACTTAATTTCATGTCACTCTGTTTCTTTGTACTTTGATACAGTAGTTTATTGCCCTCTGAGTATAGTTTAGATACACTTTAACATGACAAAAGTACAGTCAGTCACCAAAATGAATGTGTTCATCCCTGTCCTTGCCTTCTTCATGCTGACATAAGCACTGCTTGCATAAGGACAGATCCCAGTTGAAAACTCATCATTTTGAGGAATTTGCTATGTGAAATTCCCTGTTCCAGGTCACTGCACCGCTATCTGAGAAGCAGTGCCAGCAAAAAGCAGTGGGGGGAAGGCCTAACCAGCACCAATAGCCAGGGCAGCATGCATTTATGGGGATGAAAGAGACTGCAGCTTTGGGTGAAATGCTGCACCCAATTCCTGTTTGAATTTCCCAGGCTTCAGCTTCCACTATTTTTTTTTAATCTTGTTTTTATCTTATAATTAAAATTATCCTTCTCATGCATTCAAAACACAGCTTGTCACTGCAGCTGCAGGCAAAAAAACTGGGCCCTCCTGGTCCTTTTCAGTCTCACCATTTTATGTGTTTAAAGCAATACCGTGTCACTTGTTCCTGGACATAATTTTGCATATTTTTTGGATTAAAAGAGTCATGTAAAGGAAAAAAGCAAGTCATTCTCTTGTATGCAATGGTCTTCCCACAACTCCAGTTTATTTCGTGTTACTCATCCTAATTGAGTGTTAGTGTATTTCCAAGACAGAAGTCCCATTTGGATGGCCTCAAATATGCACTTGAGGAACCTTCTCACATTACCTCTTCAGGAGTGAAGGGGAGCAGCTTCTCAAGTGAGCCAGGCAAACTCAAGAACCCAGCTGTTCCATCATGCTGCTCTTTTCCCTCTTTTGTCAAACACAAATTTTAATAGCAATGATCTTCTTTGGAGATCACGTTCAACATTTGGAACACCACTTTGCTGGGAACTGATGGGATGCAACCAGAACACATTGAGATTGCAGTTTCATATTCACAGTTAAGTAGGTGCAGTGAGTCAGAGGTACAGTTGCATTTATGAGCTAAGTGACTATTTCTCCCTCTGGCCCAGACATCATGAGGAACACATATTCCTGCATTTCTTTTTCCTGGCTTAGCATCTGATTTTAATTCCTTACCTTCTGTTAACAGGTCAGATGGATTCCTTATGTATTTTTTGCCATACCTCTACTTCTGTTCCCCTACTTGCTTTTTCACTCATTCTTGTATTAACTCTTACTGCATTAGAGAAGCTTTCTGTGGTTTCTCTGATGCCCTATTCTTAATATTGTGCCTATTTTACACAGCATAAATTCTTAGAGCATTTGCAACTGTCAATTTGCCAAGCAACTTTTTCTGTTTGCCTTAAGATATCTCCTTTTCTTATAAGACACTTTGCCTCTAGGTCTACCTCTAATTAATTAATTCCTATTGCCTGAATTCAAGTTCTTGCTGCCTATGGAGCCCTGTGGAAAGGTCTGGGCACTACAGAAGAGCAAAATTATTCCATTTGATTTGTAAACGCATCATACAATAAAGAACTGAAATCTATCTGTGGGGTAACAGTTAGACTTCATGAAATATTTGGAAGAACCTGCCACCAGACAATTGATAATTTAAAGTGAATTGAACCATAGCAGTCCCAAAGCAAAGATCAAAAAGGTGAGCATAAAATGCAAGCAAGCCAAGAAGAGGACAAAGCAGGGAGGTAAGAGCAGCAAAAAGGCACAAGGTAAAATCTTCATTTTCCTCCAGAAGGAAATTCTCAAGAATCATAGAAACCTAGAACATCCTCAGTTGGAAGTTACCCATAACATTCAACTCTTGGCTCCCCATGGGAACCACACAAAAATTAAGCCACATATCTAAAAATGAATTCCTGAAGCACCTCTATGTGCTGTGTTTTCTCTTAACGAAGAAAACAGGGTACCTATCAATAATAATTAAAAAAAAGTACAGTGTTTTGCAATTTCTGGCATGGCTGTGGCTGGAATGTAGAAAATTACTTGACTGATAGTCTCTTCTGCTATAACTTTGACTGTCTTTGTTATCTACACATTAGAAGGAAAAAAAAAGACAACAGAAGGCTCACCTCTTTTGTACAATTATGATTCTTTGTTCTTCTGTTCTTCCACCAATTCTAGCATGTTTAAAGTCTTAGTTGTGTTTTTTCTAGTCATCATATCCAACTGTTGATTTAAAAAAAAATCCATGCATTTTTCTAACTTCCGAAAGTTTATGACAGATGTTGCCATTTTTTTTTTGAAATATCAGTTTCTAAGATAATTTAATATCCAAACAAGATCACCTGTGCTAAAAAACAAACCAGCCAATCAAACAAGCAAACTACCAGAAGGAAGTGAACATCCAAATTTTTGCTGAAAATGTCATTTAAAAGACTATCTCATCCAGGTTCCAGGAAATCCAGAAGGATCATCCCTTTCTTATCCCAGAAGATAGAGCACGTCACTTTACCCTCTGAGGGCTGCATTTGGAACTTTTTGTTTGATGGGGAATTCATACGTCACCACTTCGTGTACGGCCATTTTGACTCCAGATCATAGTGGTGACACCATATCTCATGACCAGTAAAGATACTATCCAGAAAACTGTTACCTCAAATCTCTTGTTTGTTCCATAGGTCCTGACAAATTTGCACATGATATTCTTTCTGTTCCTGTGTATTTGTGGGACTCACCTGGTGCAAACTGCATGATAGTCCAACATCACCACCATTTTCAATGCACTGAAGCTGATATGCATGTCCACGCAGAGTTCTCCTGTTGTAATTTGCCAATTACATAGATGGTCAGCATGGATGAGCTGCTCAAGATACTAGTTATTTCCTGGTGTGACAGCTGTGCATGGCATTTTTGAATGTGGCTTATCTTTCACATTGTTGTTGCCAATGCTGAAAGCCACTTCATTGCACTCACATCCACTGTTTGGTCTCCACAAACGTTCAGTAAGTGTCAGTGAACGTCAATGGATTCCATTTTTTCTGCATGGAGGAGTTCAATGACACACCATTGCTTCATATGCACTTCCATGTCAGATGCCATTTTGTCAACCTGCTACTCCACTGCAGTCTTCACACTGCAATAAAATTTACTGGAATATTGGTGGCAAGGTTCAACTTCTGCTGTTACACCACCAACATCTGCCTTTGACAACGTGGGCCAGTAATAAAATAGGAGGAATTTCTTGTAAGAATAATACTCAGTCTTCAGAATCACAGAATCACAGAATCACCGAGAATGGAAAAGACCTATAAGATCATCCTATAAGATCATACCTATCACCAATAGTTCTCACTAAAAAAAAAAAAAAAAGACAGCGGTGATCTGGTGATCTGAAAAGATGACCAAAGATGAAAATGTAAAAAATGCATGACAGCTGTTTAACAGCGGCTGTTAAGATATAAGGATTGCATATTCCTTTTTTTACCAGAAAACTGGGAAATAACAAGCAAAGGTGTGTCTGAAGAAATCAAGGAGACTCAGACATTTATTAGATAAGATTTTTTTATATTCATCAAATATTTTGATACCAGCTATAAGACAATGAAGAAGAATCAGTGCAAAGTGAAAAATAACTTTTATTGCATATTTTTCTACTAAATAGTGATTACATGATTAGTAGTCCTATAACAGCGTACCTGAGAGACGCACTGTAAAATACAAGAAAATATGTAAGAAAATGCAGGTGGAATGACATTACAGATCGTCTACCTTTTATTGTCTCTGAGTGAAGGATTAGCTCTTCTGAAATCATTCTTGGCAGATGTTTGTCTAATGCATTATTTAAATTTTCAGTGACAAAGATTCCTATCTCTGTAAACAGCATAGTTTTCTGTTTATTGTCCTTAAATCATTTCTCCTTTTGTAACTTGTCTCTTTCTAAACTTCAAACAATTTACTTTTTGTCCTGCCCACAATGGATAGGAAGAACATTTTCAGTCTTTCCTTTCTTCAGCAGATTTGTCACAGCTCAAGAAGACAGGGCTGTATTCTCAAGAAAAAATAGTGCTATTTCTTTCAGTCTTATACCAGACAGAATATTTTCGAAGATCCTGCTTTTCTCTGGGTACTTCCACCCAATCCACAACTAAATTTTCCCTGCATAGTCCACATCTGATTTGCAGTCCACGCTAACCTCAGGAATTTAGCTGGCGCATTTCTAATACTGATCAGAATAGGAGGATATTTAATAATTTGGGCATCTCAGAAATTAGGAAGATGTTCAACAGTGTTAACTTCTTTTCACATTGTGCTCCACTAATGTCTGTAGATACTCTTTTGAAGACTTCTACCTAGAAAGTCAGTCTAGAGCACTTTACTGAATAGCGGCTGTGTCTAAATCTCCTGTGAATGATCTGGAGCATGATATTCAGTCTTCATCCACCTGGATGATGTCTCCTAAGGCCATCCTTCGAGTAGACTGTCTCTTTACAATGGAAGCTTCGTCTGTTTCCTCTTTCTGTGCTCCTCTTTCCTTCTGCTTTTTGGCCACATTCTCAATGAGCTTGCTTGCGTCACTGAGGGTTTTTTGTGTTCGCTGACTTGCAGATTTCTTCTTCCCTTCTCCCACACTGGAATCTGTGACCTTTAAGGGTTTGGCTTTCCCCTGGTCTTCCTGCTGCTCTTTCATGTGCCTTACTCTGAATCGGCGGCGACAATTGTTCTGGTAAGGATCAGAGATGCTGTCAGGGCTGCTAGACTCTTCATGTACATCCACCTGGAGAGTGGGAATTGATGCCTTATGAAGTGTCCTGGGAGCCTCTTCAATACCTGGTTGCTTAGTCAATTTTGAGCCTGTGTCTGGAGGCAAAATAATTTGAATTTCTCCCAAGGGCTTGCTGCTTTTAGGGGAAAGGGGATCATCCTTATTTTCCATAGCAGCCTTCTCACTCAGCTTTATCTTATGAAGGTTTTCCAGCTCCCCCTGGGCCAGATTCTTCACTCTTTTTACATGGGGTTCATTGCTGATGGAGCTAATAGCTGTCAACTTCTGAGCAGCCATTTGAGCTTCTCTCTGGATGCTCATAATCTTTTGAAGCTGGGCTTCTTTCACTTCTACCGGGATCTCCAGAGGAGCCAACTTCACTGGCCTCTTCAGGGTAACATTCTCTGTGCTATATGACTCATTTGCACGGTGCAGGCTGGGAGACAAAGACCCCTCTCTCTTTACCTTCTCTGGCCACAACTTTTTATCTCCCTGGGCTATCTTCTTCTCTGACATCCTGGGTGAAGGAGGATGGACACCAGGGTTTCTGTGTTCACTTCCTGGCTTCTCTTTTGGTAGGATAATTGTAGGATTCTTGTTGGGCTGCAGGTTCACAATGGTAACTTCACTAACATTGCAGTTATATCTGGGCATCAGCTTTTTCTCATCCATTGGTGCACCCTTAAAAAAAGCAAACAGATACATTGTTCACTATCATACATCACATTCATGGTCTATTAGCTTTTTATATAACATTTGAGAGTCTGGGAAGAATGCAATCTTGATGTCCCTTGAAGTGTACTCATATTTACAAGCACTGAGCTCTGTGCTCAGTTTGACATAACCATGGCTAATCTATAAAGGGGGTTCCATGTACGGAGACTTGACAAGTTATTGTCCCATATATAGAGTGTCCTTTCTAAGCAGTTGGCAGCACCAGTCTGTACGCTGTCATCGCCAACTTAAGGGAGGACGAAGACCTCCAAGACACATGTAAAGTAACATTTTAACCAGAGCATTAGTGTTAGGTTGGAGGAGCTCCCAGTTGAGGATCAGGTGTGCACCTTTCCCTTCTTCCTCTGACATGCTGAGAGATGGGCATTTTTAAGAAGTGTGATCACCCATCTCATTCCTGCGCCTACAGAGACGTGCCTTACAAGGGCCTTACCTCAGGAAAGTGCCTTTGTTTCCCCTCAAACTCTCCCTAGTTTCACAAAGTGCTTTTCTTGAAAGAACAGACACTTAAGCCAGTGGTGATTTTGCTAGTGTCAGTAGAAGAAAAACTGAAATGAGTCTTGAAAGTTCTCTTCATACCTTGGCCTTGTTCAGTTTCGAGTGCACAAGTGACATGCTAACTAAAAGAATTAGTAAATGGGAAACGTGAGGAACCTGAAGTTCATTTCTTGCCTTTTTTCAGAGGAACTTTATTTCATGGTTAGGAAAAGGTCCTGATTATCATCAATAATATAAGCATCTCACTGGAAAAAGAGTACTGCTGTTGAATTTTCTAGCACTATGTAAACAATGAAGGGCTCATAGGTGGCATAAGGAGATGAGCTTTGTTCCCATTTCTGCCCAGATGAGTAAGTCCTCTGCCCTTAGACCCTTTCTCCATTACTGCTCTCTGTGTTTTGAACAGACTACACATTTTTTGGACAGTCATGAGCAATATTCTTGGCTGTAGCTGGGACCTGCAGACTCAATTATCATAAAGATAACTTACTAAATGATAGCATAAACTTATTCTTCCTCTGGTGAACCCTCTGTTCACCAGAGTACATGAGCTATTTCACTTCACAACTCCTATCATTTCTCAAATCAATTTCTGCATTGGTAATTTCTGTTCACTGATGTTGGTGGGATTTTTTTTAAGCACCTGGGCTTAGTATCATTATAAATAAAATAATACATTTCTTGGTCTTCCCGTACCTTGCTGTGTTCCAAGAAAGCAGTTAAGGCTGCCTACATCTCTGTAAAAATAAAGTGAAATACAATAAACCTAAATAAAATCTTGCCTTAAAATTCAGGTACATAAACCACTGAGACAGAATGAAAGTTCCAATGCACAGTGAAGTATGGGAATGGAAAGGAAGAGAAAGTAAACCATGTAGCACCTCCAAATGATTATTCTTTAAAAGTTCTGGGTTGAAAAGCCTTTTACCTGCCTTTGAAAAGGGTCAACTAAAACCCAGCTAGCTATTTAAGTCTACAGAATGACCTACCTAGACGGTGCTTCTTTCTGGCTAAGACCATTCTTTGTTTTTAAGATATTGTCTTGGTTTTATCTGAGATTATTTTCTTCCTGGTAGCTGGTATGGTGCTCTGTAGTGGATATAGGATGAGAATAATGTTGATAACACTGATACTTTAGATGCTGGTGAGCCGTTCTCACACAAAGGCAAGGACTTTTGCTTCTCATACTGCCCTGCCAGTGGGGACTGGGAGCCTGGAGGGAAGATAATCAAAATGGCTGACCCAAACTGTTCAACAGGATGTCCCGTACCATACGACACTGTGCTGAGCAAAGGAACCATGGGAGTTGGTCAAGGGACTATTTCTGTTTGGGGACTGGCTGGGCATTGGTCAGCAGGTGATGAGCATTCGCATTGTGCATTCCTTGTTTTGTATTTTATTTTATTATTATTATTTTCCATTCTATTTCTGTCACACTAAACTGCCTTTATCTCATCCTATGAGTTTTACCCATTTTCATGTTCTCTCATCCTCTGGACAAGGAATTGAGCACATGGGTGTATGGTGCTGAGCTGCCTATCAAGTTAAACCACAGCAGATAGTTTCAGAAGGGGAAAATTCAGCCATGCTAAGAAGGCTGGGGGAAATTTTGCACACCATCTAAATCCTATTGGACTCTTAATGTTAATGCACTTAAAATCTGTCCAAGGCTAATGTACAAGATAAACTGCATCTTCTGTTACCATGCACACATTATTCAATACCTTCTCAAAATGTCCATCTGCTATGTGTATGCTCCTACATAAATTTTAATTAAGTAATTGGCCCAGTCTTGTGTAGGTAATTGCTATGTGCCCAAAATTCCCTTTGCAGTCAGTGAGAGACCCATGCAAAGAATGACGGCTTCAAGCTCTCAGGATCAAAGTATTATGATAGTGGTATTATCAAAGGGATCACCAGTCTTTATTTATCAACCACAACCTTTATGTAATTTAAGGACTTTCCTCCCTACTCTTGGCTTTCTGATCCTTCTGAAATAAACTGCACAGTGGTGCAGAAAGGCAGAGACAGAAGAGCCACAGAAATTGGCCAATTAGCATGGAGTGGCTTCAGCTATAAGAAACTTGGTGTCCCCCCATAAATAGGAATCTGATGATCCTCTGCTTAAAGCTAGCTTGACTTAGTGCCGAGACTGGATGGTCCTCAGAGAAAGGTACTTCTACTATTTTTACTTCAGATTGATTTCAAGAGTCTGTTCATTGCAGGGCAATAAACACTTGGTTTATATGCAGAAAGTGAGATTTGAAAATGAATCTTCAAGAAATCTGATGCTGTTTTGAAACCTTGCTCACCATCTTGACTGCTAGGTTAAGAGATAGAACTGAGGAACCCTATTATTGATTCTGTGATTCTACGGTACTCAATCTCTATCATTCTGTAACTGGTGAAAGCAGACAGGTTTAGAATAGAATCAGGTGCCCTGAGATTTTCTGTTTGTAGGTACATGGAAAAAATGGGGAACAGAAAAATGGCACATTTAAGATGAAATGCAGGTAGATGCCCTGCACCTACATACCTACATACTTCCAGAACCAACTGGACATTAGCCTGGCTATCCATCAGCAGAAAAAGCAGCAGCCTGTTGTGGCATCACAAAGCTCAGCAGGGCTCAAGATTCAAACCACTGCTTTATGCGAATCTCTTTTATGTTGACTCCAAGATGCTCCCCCATTTCAGATCCATTGTGAACATAATCAAAAGGAGGCAATACTGGGATTGTACTATACCTCATTAGGTACATCATGATTGATGGGTATCCTTTAAAAATCCCTTTTTCTTTCATCACAATTTTGAAGTTTTCTCTCTTTGCTCAATGAAACTGTATTCATAGCAAATTACATTAAAACAAACAGCAACAACAACAACAAAAAGCAAAAAACAACAAACAAACAAACAAAACTAAATCCCAAGCTCTTCCTACATAAGGAAAAGCTTTAATCTCATTGCTACAGCATAATCTGTATAAACAGATGTTACACAACTCAGATACTTTTCCTTCTTATCATTACATGTATCAGCTGATGGCTGCAGTTCAAAGGTGAGGACAAAAATACCTAAGGAAGGAAGTCCACAGAACAAATCCTTCAGCTTATCTAGCTGAAAGCTTGTCCCCAGAGTGGAGATTTCTGAGTTAAATTCCAAAATAAACATCAGGCCTTCAGCATGCCTTAATTCTCCATGTGATGCCTGAATCTCTGCTATTCAAAAGCCTTCTGGCACGTGGATATCCATTAAAAATGCTGTCATTCAACAGGAGAAAGAAAGGATTCAGTTTAAACATCTAGGAATTAACATCTTTGCTTCCACTGCAAATTCTGCATATTACAGTCAGTGGTTCAGATCATTATGAATGAAACACATAGCAGGAACAGTGAAAAGTCAAGTAATTTCCAGAAAATCTCTAAATATCCAGTCTCTTGATACTCCAGCTAGTTTTGGAAGCTGGCATAAGGATCACATGTGCAGTATCAAGAGCATGCACTGCAACATCGTCATTTGCTGCTCTGGGAAAAATTAATAAGACAATGATGTCTGTGAGCCAGGGGGTTCTAGGGCATCAGATGGTTCATCAGTCTGGTGATACTAAAGTATAACAGTATTTGTAATTAGCAGTACTGAAGACAGTGTTAATACCACACCTAGATGCAATGTTAATATCACACCTAGTCTAGAGTGAGGTGTCCCTGCCTATAGTAGGGGGTTTGGAACTTGATGATCTTAAAAGGTCTCTTCCAACACAAACCATTCTACAATTCTATGATTCTATGACTTTAACCTCAATGTAAGCAAATACCAAGGTGGAGTATGTTGTTTTGTTACAATTCGCCTTCCATTGTACTTCTTACTATCTTTATATGATGATAGCAAGAAAAGTTTCAAAACAAAACAAAGAAAAGACACTGAGTAGTCTAAGCTCAAGCTCAGCATCAGGAGACCTACCTCAAACCCTGTTTCACCACAAGTTGCTTGTGGAATGGCAAAGAAGATGCTTCATCTTTCTGAGTCTGTTTTCCATCTGTAAAATTGATCTGATCCCCTCTCATAGTTCATAGAATCATTATAGAGTTTTGGACATGACTTAGTATTTGCAGTCATTAACTTTATGATTTCATAAAACCATATTTAATATTTGCTCAAAAACTGAGGGAGATCCTAAGAGGAATTAAATCATTTCATATAATTCACCATTGTCTCATTCCTTCTGTTATCACTACTTCTGTAGTTTCTTTCTGAATTCAAGAAGAGTCCCATTTCAGTTTTAGAAAACCTACTAAACCTACGAAATCTACCCTGCAAGATAGATTCAGGGTAGATTTACCCTTGCAGATACAAACAGTTTTCCAATTGTGGACCCTCCAAGACTTCCCAATGCATAACCTAGCTTTGCTGAAGAAGGTAGCTCTTCAAAATATTCCTGTAGAGAAGAA